TTTCATACTTAAAATATTTTGCTATCAGATATGTATGGTCAATGACACAGTGAATAGAAAGATATGATGGAATTTTTTGATTAGTTTTTATGAGTCCTACAAGACCCATACATATACCTGCTCCATCTGTTGCCTGCTGTCTCTAATTGAGTTTTTGTACATCAGACCATGTATCACATTCTGGAAAGGTTTTCTGATTTCCTCTAAGAAAACTGACAACAGATTCCAGTCATTCAACAAACTTTTTTTGCTGATAACCATCTCAGAAGACAGCAGAAAGGTATATCATTAGCTTTGGCTTCAAGGTCCATTTCATCATGGAAAATTTTTAAGTTGTGATGGATCTTCACACTGAAGTGGATGAAATTGACAATTTATAGAATTGTTTGCATAACATTTTCATACTTAAAATATTTTGCTATCAGATATGTATGGTCAATGACACAGTGAATAGAAAGATATGATGGAATTTTTTGATTAGTTTTTATGAGTCCTACAAGACCCATACATATACCTGCTCCATCTGTTGCCACACAAGTTTATTTAGCAGTGTGTCAAGTACATTCTTACATCAGCATTCCTTGCTGTTCCTTTCAATGCTATGTTCTCTTTCACATCTATTTCTGTAGAAACATAATATAGAAACAGCATCTGCAGATTCATTAAAGGCCAAATGTTAGTAGATGATTTTTGTGATCTTTTGTACATTTTTCTGTCAAAATAATTACTTATTTGAAAAATATACCTCTCTGTAGTCTGACATGAAATATGAATTTTGTTATTCATCTCTGAAAATCTGAGTTACTAGGGCAAAAACTGAAATGAATTCAAAAGTGCTTTTGTTAACAGGATCTCAGTCAGTTACATGAACTTTTAGCAACAGCAGTGTTCACTGAAATAACAAAACTGGCTTTGGTTGTTGTGTTACTTTCTTTAGTGAATTATGAAAATAGCACTTGCTCGTTCTGTAAAGGTAAAACATAAAGATATCCCTGTGCTTAACTAATTAAACACTAAGCCAAGAAGGCGTTTGGAGGAGTGGGACTTCTGCATTCCTGGGATCCTTCTCTGAGTAACTCAATTGCCACATGAAGCACTTCAGATGTATTCAAGAATAATGATGATTGTTAGGAGGAAGATGAAGAAAATACTCTAAAAATTATAATATTTTGATAAACTGTGGTTATAGTCAGGAATTAAAATTTATTGTGTGAAGTTTTATGTCATTAAGATATTCTTCATTCCAGTTTTTGTTATATTCATTAACTCATACAAATATGAACATTTTTTTTTGTTGTTGAGTAAGAATTATTACTAGATGTGAAAATAATATTTATAACTGTGACGAAGCTTTCGAGATAAACAGGAATGTTTTCTTTAACAACTCCCATTTTTTCTAGCGTTTAAAATAAAAATTGCTTCAGTTTGTTATGATAAGGCTAATGTGGGGTGAGTGCAATACAGGCAGTGGATCATATGAGGCTCATGAGAAGATTTTGATCTGCAAACAGAATTATGTTTAATTTAGTAATGGAATCAGTAAATATATATTCCCAGAACCCAGGTTCTCACCTATAGTATTTACTTTGAGTTTCTTACCGTCCACCATGCAAAAATATCAGGATTTTAAAATTCAGTCCTTTTCAACATTATTCTCACCTATAGCTTGAGAATTCCATAGCCCTAGTGAATGAAAACATGTTTTAGTTGCTCTACCACAAAATTTGCCATTCTTTAATAGTAACCAAATAACTTGAGTAACATTTCTTGTTTGTAATAAATGATAAAAACATACTGCAAGAATGTTTTGTATTTGTGCTGTGTATGATAACTGTTAAATAATCGAAGGAACAAATACACTAGATTGTCTATTAAAAATATAGCCTGTGCTGTTAAAAGATGTGAATGTTGTATGACATCTCAAATGTACAGGAAACTGAATCATATTCATGAGCATTGTATTCTTGCTGATAGGTTCTTTTCTTTCAGTGTGTTTAATAAGAGTGTGTATGTATGTTTATTGTGTGTACAGATATGTATGTCTGTGGGCAAATTTTGTCAAAATGGCTGTGTACATATAGATTATAAGTGTACAATAAGATGTAACATGTAGAAACAGCATACCAATAAAAATGTATACTAAATTTAATTTGTATTTTATCCTAAGAAATTAATACTATTTGAGAGTGTTTTGAAGCATTGATACACAGAGAAAATTAAGCAAACATCTAGGTTTTCTCATCAGAAATCATGACAGAACCTTGTCTCTCAAATTAAAGGAGGAAAATAGACTGAGTCTGTGAATAGACTACTGAGGAGAATACGTGGACCTAAGAAGGGTGAATTCATATGACTCTGGAAAAAACTGTATATTGAAGAACTTGATAACTCCTACTACTCTGCAAATATTAGAATGAAGACATCAAGGACGGTGAGATTGGCAGGACATGTAATACATATGGGAGAGAAGTGGACTTCATACATGGTTTTGTAGAAAAATGTGATGGAAAAAGACCACTGGGGAGACCTAGATATATATGGGAGGTAATATCAAAATTGATCTTGAAGAAATAGACAGAAGGAATGGAGTGGATTCATATGGCTCACATAAACATAGTAATGAACCATCAGACTGCATAAAATATTGGGAATTTCTTGAGTGGCCAAGTATCTATTAGCTTCTCAATAAGGATTCAGCTGTATGGGGTCGGTTAGTTCTGAAAAAGTGTTATCACATTTACGAAATACTATATCCATGAATAAGCAATATCATATTTTCAGGTAATTTTACTACTTACATTGGTGTAATTACCTGTGGGAAACCCCACACACTAACCCGCAG